ATAATTGCTATGAAAATATTTATGGGAGCCATGTCACGGTAATGGAAAATTAGAGATACCAAATCAGGACCGATAGCATCACAGCCTCTTCTTTGGATTTTGTCGAGAGTCTAAAAATATATATATATATATAGCAAATATAGCAGCAATATTCAATGCACAGACGAATGGTAGATTGGTAACTAAGCGAGATCGATTTTGACGAGAAAAAAATTGTCTGGCATGATACAATGAAACAACTTTCCTATCAGTAGACTTAGAAACTGACGCAATATAATCACTCCACTTCATATTAATGGAAAAAAAGTGAGACTAAAAAGACTGTTATGGTCCAGTTCCATGTACCACGGTGATAGTCCAAGGTAGAACCAATAAAGAAGAACGCGAACACAGATATGGAATAACACAGATATATTACAAACAGGAATATATACAGAGAAGTAGAAGTGTTAGTATGAACAATCTGGTTTAGTAGAGAGAACAATGTAGTCTCGACCAGTATCACTATTTCAATGTCTTGCAGTAATTGTCTGAACGCGACTCTATTTCGGACTGCCTCTGACTCGACTCTTGACTCGACTTGAACTACTGACTCCACTTGAACGACTGACTGACGATATTCAGTCACCCCCCCACACACACACTGGGGCAGCATGTGACACAAGGTCGGTTATTTATTGTGGGTTCTCCGAGTCCCTGGGCTCGGCCCAAAAATATGCCCATTGAACCCGTATAAACGGGTTCAGGGCCGGTTTACCTCCCCGAACGAGATTCCGCCCCTCAGGGTAGCCTCGTTCGGGTTCCTCCCCGCCCGAAGGAAGAGTTTAACCGATCTGTCCTTCAAGACTTGAGCGACTGACGATATTCAGTCACCCACCTCCACGATGGTGTCATGTGGCACAAGGCCTTTTTAACGTGGGCATTCTGAGCCCGTAGGCATTCCGAGCCCGTGGGCTCGGCCAAAAATATGCCCATTGAACCCGTATAAATGGGTTCAGGGTCGGTTTACCTCCCCGAAAGAGAATCCGCCCTTCGGTGTAGCCTCTCTCGGGTTCCTCCCCGCCCAAAAGCAGAGAGTTCAACCGATCTGTCGGTTCAGACTTGAACGACTGACAATATTCAGTTCCCTCCCCCCCACACACACTGGGACAACATGTGACACAAGGTCGGTTGTTTATTGTGGGTTTCCCGAACCCGTGGACTCGGCCCAAAAATATGGCCATTGAACCCGTATAAACGGCGTAGCCTCCTTCGGGTTCCTCTCCGTCCGTAGATAGAGAGTTCAACCGAACAGTCGGTTCAGATTTGAACGACTGACGATATTCAGTCACCCCCCCACCACGAGAGTGTCATGTGGCACAAGGCCTTTTTAACGTGGGCATTCCCGAGCCATTAGGCTCGGCCAAAAAATAGACCATTTGAACCCGTATAAACGGGTTCAGGACCGGTTTTATCTCCCCGAAGGAGAATCCGCCCTTCGGCGTAGCCTCCTTCGGGTTCCTCCCGCCCGTAGGAAGAGAGTTCAAACCCAGCAGTCTGTTCAAATGTGAACGACTGACGATATTCAGTCACCCCCCCCACGAGGGTGTCATGTGGCACAAGGCCTTTTTAACGTGGGCAATTCCCAAGCCATTAGGCTCGGCCAAAAAATAGCCCATTTGAACCCGTATAAACGGGTTCTGGGCCGGTTTTACCTCCCCGAAAGAGAATCCGCCCTTCGGCGGAGCCACCTTCGGGTTCCTCCAGCCCGTAGGAAGAGAGTTCAAACCCACCAGTCTGTTCAAAAGTGAACGACTGACGATATTCAGTCACCCCCCCACAAGGGTGGCATGTGGCACAAGGCCTTTTTAATGTGGGCATTCCCGAGCCATTAGGCTCGGCCAAAAAATAGCCCATTTAAAACCCGTATAAACGGGTTCTGGGCCGGTTTACCTCCCCGAAGGAGACTCCGCCCTTCGGCGTAGCCTCCTTCGGGTTCCTCCCGCCCATAGGAAGAGAGTTCAGCCGTGCAGTCGGTTCAGAGGTGAACGACTGACAATATTCAGTCACCCCCCCACGAGGGTGTCATGTGGCACAAGGCCTTTTTAACGTGGGAATTCCCAAGCCATTAGGCTCGGCCAAAAAATAGCCCATTTGAACCCGTATAAACGGGTTCTGGGCCGGTTTACCTCCCCGAAGGAGACTCCGCCCTTCGGCGTAGCCTCCTTCGGGTTCCTCCCGCCCCGTAGGAAGAGAGTTAAACCGTGCAGTCTGTTCAGAGGTGAACGACTGACGATATTCAGTCACCCCCCACGAGGGTGTCATGTGGCACAAGGCCTTTTTAACGTGGCCAATTCCCAAGCCATTAGGCTCGGCCAAAAAATAGCCCATTTGAACCCGTATAAACGGGTTCAGGGCCAGTTTTTACCTCCAAAGAAGGAGACTCCGCCCTTCGGCGTAGCCTCCTTCGGGTTCCTCCTGCCCGTAAAAGAGAGATTAACCGAACAGTCGCTCAGAAAGTGAACGGCAGACTATATTTAGTCGTCCCCCCACGAGGGCGTCATGTGGCACAAGGCCTTTTTAACGTGGGCATTTCCGAGCCATTAGGCTCGGCCAAAAATAGCCCATTTGAACCCGTATAAACGGGTTCAGGGCCGAATTTACCTCCCGAAGGAGACTCCGCCCTTCGGCGTAGCCTCCTTCGGGTTCCTCTCCGTCCGTAGACAGAGAGGTAAACCGAACCGTCGCTCAGAAAGTGAACGACAGACTATATTTAGTCGTCCCCCCACGAGGGCGTCATATGGCACAATATATTTTTTAACGTGGGCATTTCCGAGCCATTAGGCTCGGCCAAAAAATAGCCCATTTGAACCCGTATAAACGGGTTCAGGGCCGGTTTTACCTCCCCGAAGGAGACTCCGCCCTTCGGCGTAGCCTCCTTCGGGTTCCTCTCCGTCCGTAGACAGAGAGTTGAACCGAACAGTCGCTCAGAAAGTGAACGACAGACTATATTTAGTCACCCCCCACGAGGGCGTCATGTGGCACAAGGCTTTTTTAACGTGGGCATTTCCGAGCCATTAGGCTCGGCCAAAAAATAGCCCATTTGAAACCGTATAAACGGGTTCAGGGCCGGTTTTACCTCCCCGAAGGAGACTCCGCCCTTCGGCGTAGCCTCCTTCGGGTTCCTCTCCGTCCGTAGACAGAGAGTTGAACCGAACCGTCGCTCAGAAAGTGAACGACAGACTATATTTAGTCGTCCCCCCACGAGGGCGTCATGTGGCACAAGGCCTTTTTAACGTGGGCATTTCCGAGCCATTAGGCTCGGCCAAAAAATAGCCCATTTGAACCCGTATAAACGGGTTCAGGGCCGGTTTTACCTCCTCGAAGGAGACTCCGCCCTTCGGCGTAGCCTCCTTCGGGTTCCTCTCCGTCCGTAGACAGAGAGGTAAACCGAACCGTCGCTCAGAAAGTGAGCGGCAGACTCCTTTCCTACTCCTGAGGTGCAGTATTTATTAAGTATGGAATAGTCCATTATTATTATTATTATTATGGGTAAGATTCCATAACAAAGACGCAATGTGATTTTCTTCTGGAGGTTAGCATCAGCCAATACTGATGGAAGTCAAAATGGTTCTCTTTGATGATTAAAAGATAGCATTTTCGTTTTTGAGGCGTTTAAATTTACAAGCCATGTATTTCCCCAGTTGACAACTGATTTGATGCCATTTTTGAGAGCTGCTGTTAGCGTTAGTCTGTTTGAAGCATTTATTTCTAGGTAGACAATCATGCAGTTTTAAAATCAATGATTAGTTACTTCTTTTAAGCTTTAAATTATCACCCTTAGCTTTTCAGTGATAATAGAATGTTTCGACAACGGACGAAAACGGGATTAGAACCAATGCGAATATTCCAGTATGTATGGATCAACATTAATGAGAAACCTTTGTGTCTGCAATAAAGAGTGTGTGTCAATGTTCAAGATTGACGAAAGATAAACGTGATAAAACGCCATTGTTACTCAAATTTTGAGAGATTGAAATGATGGGATAATTTAGTAAAAACTGTTTGCCACTCAGCAGGATTTTGTCGAGTAGAAAGAAACCATACAATTATCCTGAGTGTAGCTCTTTCTTTTTTTAAAACCTTTTTTTCCCTCGAAATTGATTTGATTAACAAATCAAAAATTCGAGGGTTTTTCGAAACGAGTCTAGGTATCTATATTTATATTTATATGTATAAAGCTCTAGGTTATCCTATCGAGCACTGTTTTAAATCGACTAATATGGAACGCGTAGACATAGGTTATTCACTTAAAAACATACCCATACCTGAAGTCACTCATACGAGTTATGTTTATTAAGAAAAATAGAGAAATTTATAATAAATATGAGGTGGCGTGCATATTTTTGTTTAAATAACAAACCTAACAGAAAAACCAAAGAGAGCTATGGATTTAAGATCAATGCCCATCCTCCGTATATATATATATATATATATATATATATATATATATAAAGATGATGCCACCAATGGAAGAATTTTCAGTGAATTACTAACCACAAATAAGATGTATCTTAAATTTTTGAAACATTCCCTTCTTTCAATGATAAAACAATAGCCAAGATTTATGCAATAGACCATATATTGGAAAGCTGTAGATCGCTGGAAATTATAACGAAAAGGCTGGGTACAGTCTGTGATTAATAAGTTAAAGCTGCACAGCGCCGACAGACGTCTGAATGATAAGAAAGTATAAAAATATAACCAATGCCAGAGGGGAATTGAAGCTCGTGAAAGTTTATCCAGTGTTGCGAAAGTCACTACATTATTAAAATCAACGTCAATATTTTTAGGCAATTCTAATTTTCGCATTGATACAACGAGAACAAACAAAGAAATAAAAGAGTAAACCCACCTGTTTATTTCGCCTCACTTTGCGCATTGCATTAAATAATTCTGATGCTCTTTTAAATTATCCATAAAACTTGATATTTACTTAGTTTTATCGAAGCATTGATTACGAAAAGAATCAAAGGATAGATAGATAGATAGATAGATAGATAGATATGAATATGAATAACCTAACTGATAGATAGATAGACATGAATACCCTAATAGATCGATAGATTGATAGATAGATAGATAGATAGATATGAATAACCTAATTGATAGATAGATAGAAAGATAGATAGATAGATATGAATAACCTGATAGATAGATAGATAGATATGAATAACCTAATTGATAGATAGATAGAAAGATAGATAGATAGATATGAATAACCTGATAGATAGATAGATAGATATGAATAACCTAATTGATAGATAGATAGAAAGATAGATAGATATGAATAACCTGATAGATAGATAGATAGATAGATAGATATGAATAACCTAATTGATAGATAGATAGAAAGATAGATAGATAGATATGAATAGATAGATGATAAGATATGAATAACCTAATTGATAGATAGATAGAAAGATAGATAGATATGAATAGATAGATAGATAGATAGATAGATATGAATAACCTAATTGATAGATAGATAAAAAGATAGATAGATATGAATAACCTAATTGATAGATAGAAAGATAGATAGATATGAATAACCTGATAGATAGATAGATAGATAGATAGATAGATAGATAGATAGATAGATAGATAGATATGAATAACCTAATTGATAGATAGATAGATAGACATGAATACCCTAATAGATAGATAGACATGAATACCCTAATAGATAGATAGACATGAATACCCTAATAGATAGATAGACATGAATACCCTAATAGATAGATAGATAGATAGATAGATAGATAGAAGAATCAACACTGTCAGTTTTGGCTTATTTTCATGCTAATGTCACTACTCCTTTCACGGGCTGTATATATATTGGCCAAGGATGAAAACGGTTGTTCCCAGTTTATTTATTTGGACTCTAATGCTTTTTTATTTGTAGTCATGATGCTTAGTTTGCTTATTTTTGTTCTTATTTATTTAATTATTCATTATTTTAAATTTATTTTATTTATCGATATTTATCCTTTATTTGTTGTAAATTTTGGTATATGAGATAAAGTTTATTAGATTTAGATTATGAGATTTCATTAAATATTTTGTAGTCACGATGTGACTCTAAGCTGCGTCATAAGGACTCGTTTTCGTGTATCTTTTTATAAGTGGGTTCTTGAAGAAATCTCACACTTTATATCTACAAATCTCTCATATTAAGGAATCTCGTCCTGCGTATGACTATAGACTACATCCGAGTCCTGGGTAAGACTATAAACTACGTCCAACAGCAAGGCCTCTGATCAGGAGGTTTTGTGGAACGTGGAACCACCTCTTAATTGCTAGTGTTCCCAAGTCCGCCCTGACCCGGGGTGGTAGTACCTGTTAGGGTCCCAGCTATGGGCAAATAGTTAACATCCAAACTTGTGTAAAAATAGGTTTTAATAGCAGAAATACTTCGTAATAAAAAAATTATTACCAGCAATAATTTTTGAAGGAAAAATTATTATCAGCAATACTTAAAAATTACCAGCAATACAAAGAGTTCTACATTCTTTGAAAAAAAAATGACCAGCTATAGATTTCTTCAAGGAAATATATTGAAGCAAAACAAATTACCAGAAATAAAAATTTTGTCGGCATTAAATAACCCATTGAGGCTGATATGCCGTAAAACAAAACAAACCAAACCAATATTAAGGATTCCTCTTCATAAGTACCGCACGCGCGCACACACACACATATAGGGTGCCATAGGTAAATTATCGCCATTTTATATTTTCAATTTGGCTCATGCGTGTTGTTTGATTTTGATTTTGTCGACTGCACAATATAGTAGGGTCAGTTGGGTACCGTCTGTAAGAAAAAGAGAATCATAACGTAATTCACTCTACCTGAAATGTGAAAAATCCATGCTGTACTGTCTGGCATTCGCACTGGTATCTCCAATACAAACATTTCAGATTTTTTTGGTGTCAATCTGAGGACAGTGCAGAGGATTCGGAAAGAGTTGGATGAGTCTAATGGTGATTACGAAAATGTTTGGAGTGATCACTAATGATGGCGACATTATGCCTCCATCCATTTTTTCACAGGGTCATAGACTCAACACGGAGACCTACTTCAAGTGCCTTGAGAAGGTAGTTCTGCCCTGGGTCAAGACTATGGTTGCTGGAAAACCCAATATCTGGCTACAGGACTCTGCACCATGCCATACAATCAGGAGAACCCAGTCATGACTGTCAAACAATTTCTGCGACCACATTACCCCTTACATATGGCTACTTAACACCCCAGACTGCAACCCCCTTGATTATTATGTGTAGGGAGCAGTTGAGCGAGAGACCAACAAAACTTTGTGTAACACCAAAGATGAAATGTAGACAATGATTTTGGCAGCATTCACCAACTTAAAAAAGGAGACCGCCCAGTAGAGATGCAGGAGATTCCGAAGTCGTCCGGAGTCCGTTGTTGAAATCAATGGCGATTTTATGAAATAAATTTACTCTTTAGTATTTGAAGATATTTTTGTGTAATTTTGGTAAATATATATGAGATGCCAGTGTTATTTTTATTTTTACGCAATTTAAACGACAATTTATCCATCGCACCCTGTACATATATGTGTATGTGTGTGTCTGTGTGTCAGAGCATAAATGAGGTAAGCTCTCCATTTTATCATGATTAAATCTTTTAATATATTTTCTGTTCATTATCTCTTTGTTTCTAATCTATGAACCAAACCAAAAAAGCCGGTGTCGATACTAATTGCTTTATAAAGATATAACTAAAACGAACTCCATGATTTTCTGACAAAACCGGACAATTTGAAACTGATAAACTATGTTTATTAAATTTAAATGCTATTTTTCGAGTAATTATTATAAAAAATTGTCCCCATTAATTAATACTCAAATTAAAATATAATTAATTTCCATAAATTAATTTTATACATATGAATTAGTTATAATGATAATGCTATTGTATGCATTTTAACTTCCTGTGTTGTATGTATATAACCACAGACTCACTACGCTAGCTATTGCTACTGTGGTTCTGTTGCAAGATGGTGTTTATGAGATGCATCACACCAAACCAGATTTTGGATTCAAAGTTATACTTCTCCTAGACTGATTGCCAACCAAAGATAACCCAATCAGGCTTGCAATTAACGTCTAGCTGGGAGGATGGAATAAAAGACGCATTCGTATTTTCCCGTAAGTATGTTTGCGAAAGCGTACGTAACGACCTCGGCACGAATTTACCCTAACCCTGATATTCACTTGGCATTACGTCACATGTTAACACAGACGACGAAATCCTTTTCGTTCATTTGTTTCTTTTACCTGAATTCTGAGACATAATAGTTAGGAAATGACTTATCAATCCCAAATTATCAACATATTATGTGGCTATTGGTAGAACCATTCATTTCAGAGTAGGTATTTGAATATTTCGAAATACAAAATGTTTATAAGGGATATGGTTAAGATTTTATTAATGTTCAAATTTAAAACGGAATTGTGACTCCTAAGGAAAACAATAATGTTTTTGATGTTTTCTTGTTATTACTGTTATTATTTGTTCTATGTTCACCCCCAAATGTATGTAAGCTTTCAATGAAAATAGAGTTTCTTCAGATCTCCATCACATTTTTATATGCTCTATTATTATTAGGTTGGTGCAAAAATAATAACGTAATAATGTCGTTTTTTGACGTATTTTTTAAGGTAAAAAAACGACATTATTACGTCATTATTTTTGCACCAACCTAATATTATTATTATTATGATTTGTATTAGGTTGGTGCAAAAATAATGACGTAAGAATGTCGTTTTGACGTTAAAAATACGTAAAAAAAACGACATTATTACGTCATTATTTTTGCACCAACCTAATAGCAGTATTAATAATATTTACAGCTGACTTAAAATCAGAGGTATCTGTTCTTTATAGCAAGTTTCTCTAAATTAAAGGAAATCTCTTCAGTATTCTCATTGCGCCAGCAACAATTTATAATTACTGACTAACTCAAGAGATTTAAATGGTAACAAATCTTCTCACTAAACCTCTGTTCTCCTGAGCATTTCACGTGTATTCAGTAAGGCTTGTTTCTATATTTTCTCGCATTCATTCCAACTTTATTGTTAGGCTCTTTGGAACTGATCCAAAAGCAATGGTCACAACCGTAATCTTCTTTTTTTTTTCAGTTCTCTTGCGAGGTTGGATATTTGTCCAGCTTTTCACCATTATAAAATATAATTGAGCGAGAGTCTCCCCGGTAAAAGCATCCTATCATATTGACCTCAGAGAGAGATTGTTCTGATGCAGTTGAATGTAAATGTTGCAGTAACTCTGTAATTCAGATAGATTACCACTACTAGCTTAGAGATGTCATTAGATATAAAACACTTAAATATAGACGCTCTCCAATTTTACAGTGAATTCATTATAAACTTTCCCGCCTGTTTTAAGATTTTTAATATCTGGAAGCATTTTAACAGCGGTGGTTGTTTGTGTTCTATTCACACCAAGGCTACGTTCTTTCTTGCTTCCCGCCAGGCTATTTTCATCAATAAATCGAAGGTCAACCATTTCTCTTATTTCTTTTTGGCATTTCATTTCTCTTTCCCTGATTAGTGTTTTCGGCATTTTAGCGAGTACTTTAATTCTTCAGCGAATTGATCAGTTAAGGTTTTCGACATAATACACAGGCACGTAATAAACTTGTTATTACTTACGGTTGTTTCTTGAGCGTCATTTTCATATCGTCATTTACAGAAGCAAATTTCTTTCCATCAGACAATCGCATAGCTTTTATGTTAAGAGCGTATGTATAGCTGTAAATATTTTAAACTAATATTTAAATTGTGACGTGGTCTTTTCTTATAGATATTCTTAAAGTTTCAAAGTTTATTCCAATAATTTGTCGGTTTTTATACTATGCAAAGCATTTTCATATTGGTCCACCTCCCTACCGTTTTTCTGCGTTTTCCTATATCCTCAAAACCGGCTCCAAACGTTTCGTGTTTTCGTCGCTTCCAGTTGTTCGGGATTATTATTATTATTATTATTATTCACTTGTCTGTAAAATCTGCTTCCATTGTTCTGGGATAATTTATTTTTCATTATAATGTTGTAATCTGTCGATAAGTCGCTTCGCTGCCTTTCATTTGATTTTATCTCTTTATTACGACAGTTGCTCATTTAGCGGGGTTTTTTTTGTTGTTGTTGTTGTTTTGTTTTTTGGGGAGTGGGGGTTCATAACGCGATTGTGCCCCATAATTTTTTCTTTCTTTTAAATTTGCTTCTCCAGGTCATCTGTTTTTGATTTTAGTTTACTCTATTATTATTATTATTATTTTCATTTTCTTTGATTTCTGGCATTTACACATTTCATTCCGGGTCCCACCCAGGGACCTAAGGTTAGAAATGGCGTCATGACACTTTCCACTGACAAAAAAAAAAAATTAGAGATAAAGCCCTTCGTAAAGTGTGGGCTGAACTTGTCAGAACACATTTTTGTATCTCCTTGAGGCATGGACTTCCAGGAATCCCTTCAATTAGTCTACTGCAATCTTTTCCAACCAATCCTAGGGCTCCAACTACAACAGGAATTGTTGATGTTGATGTTCCCATATGCCACATTTTCGAGATTTCTATTTCAAGGTCCTTGTATTTTGGCAGCTTTTTGAATATCTTCAAAGATACATTGCAGTCAGCAATGAGTTTGAGATCATCCATGTAGAGTAGGTGATTGAATATTTTCTTATTTATTTTGTAACCATGGCTACTGTTGTTCAGTTCATGTGTAAGATGGATTAAGGATAAACAAAACAGAAGGGGTGACAGAGAGTCTCCTTGAAATAGATTCCACGTCAGATATTGAGACGGTTTTTAATGGTAGTGCCCCAATTGTGACTAAGGTATAGTTTGGTGTTCCACATTCCCATGTTGTGCTTAAGGAAATTTAATACCACAGGGGAGACTTTGTACATTTCCAAAGTCTTAAGGATCCAAGAATGTGGAACACTATCAAAGGATTATTATTATTATTATTCATGAGTTTAGACAGATTACCACTAGTAGATATACAACGCTTAAAACATCAAGTTAAACTTTTATTAATCGATTCAATACTGAACGGTAAAAAATCAGTTATGCCTTAAAAATGAGAATTTGATATCCAAGTGCAAATCAGGGATCAAACACCGATAACTGGCATCGATTGGAAGTGCGTATCTACATAATTTGCGAATAAAGCTATAAAATATTTTCTTTCTTTGGCTTTATTTTTAGTTATTTCACCCCAAGCAGGGCGATAAAGCCACTAAGGCGCAAGGGTGTACGGAGCGAGAAAGAGTCTGAGAGAAAAAAATCATTAAGGAGAGAGGGCAATAAAAGACCAGAAATTAAGAAGACAGAAAATGACGACTGGCATTGCATTTAATTTTTTGATGATCAAAGTGTTGATCGGAAAGCAAAAAGCTGGAAGTGGACCTGGCAATTGTTTCAATATAATCGTTCCACTTCATGTCAGTGGAAATGATTAGCTAGAAAGTTAGGCAGAATGAGTCACTCTCATGAAAGTACGCATCAGCCATAGCAATGAAAGTCAAAAAAATATTCTCTAAGCCGATCAAAAGAAAACAGTTTCGTTTTAGAGACGTTAAAGTTAATGAATGACTCATTTATTAAATAGAAAGAACAATTCATTTGCTACTGAAAAACAGTTCATTAAATTGACAGTTTTTTCCTATCGACCGAATATTAAAACAGTATAAATACCTTTCATGATATTCATAGTAAATTCAATGTTAATGCATTGGCAATGAATTCTAATCAATATTTTTGTATTGTTACTATTTGAAATCGTCTAAGTTTATTTCGGCTGGCAACATTATAAATTTTTATCATTACAAATGTCGACAATTTTTATTAGTTTAGATTTTCCTTCGTGTCTAGTTTTCCCAGAAGTAAAATTTATCAAAATATCTGCCATGTTGCACTAACCATCAAGCAAGCTATTTATAACTAAATGCCATCACTTTTTGTGTCATGATTGATTTTATGACGCTACTAAAGTCGAATATTGGAAATTGAATATTAAAAAATTAATCCCCAACAATTAACAAGGAAAGACGTTCTTTAAAAATCAGCATGACTCGGTAATTAATCTGATTAAATATTTTTTTTTTAATCCGCTTAATTCATCAAGATTGAAAAAAATCCCTCTTTTACAAAAACAGATTCATCATTCTGTGCTAAAGTTATATAAAAAAAAAGAAATACAAAATATTTTTCATTTTCGTTGCTGGCAGCTCAATTAATTAATCAATCAATTAATAAATTAATCAATCTACCTATCTCTGCGGAATATAGGAATCATTTGGCATTTTGATGAGAAACGAAAATTAAAACAAAGTCCATGTCTTTTGGTGATAATATAATATTGTCATACAGTTCAGAAGCATTTTAACAGGATACACTTCACGTTAGATTTTATATATAACTGAATGGAATGGTTAATTTGCAATCTTTTCGAACTAAATACGCAATTATCCGTCCTTGTATTCTCAGCAAATGTATGTAGTTTTTGTCAGTCCTATGAGATACATCTGTTCCTCATAGGTATTTTGGATTACTGCTGATTATAACTCAACCTAGCTTGTTCGTTGAGTCATCTGTGCCTCGCCTTCCATCCAAAGTATAAGTGGTGGGCGCAGTGTACTGAATTATCTATAAAGTCTTATATTTGATTTATTTGATAGATGCAGCGGTTACAGAAAAAAATGAAGGAAACACACATAGATACATATAAACACGCGCACATAGATAGATAGATAGATAGATAGATAGATAGATAGATAGATAGAAACAAACAGACTGAGATAAATAGAAGGATAGAAACAGGCTGAGATAAATAGAAAGACAGAAACAGGCTCCGATAGATAGATAGATAGATAGATAGATAGATAGATAGATAGATAGATAGATAGATAGATAGATAGATAGAAACAGGCTGAGATAAATAGAAAGACAGAAACAGGCTCGATAGATAGATAGATAGATAGATAGATATAGATAGATAGATAGATAGATAGATGAGATAGAAACAGACTGAGATAAATAGAAGGATAGAAACAGGCTGAGATAAATAGAAAGACAGAAACAGGCTCCGATAGATAGATAGATAGATAGATAGATAGATAGATAGATAGATAGATAGATAGGAACAGACTGAGTTGGATCAATAGAAAGATAGAAACAGGCTGGCATCGATTGGAAGTGCAAATCCTTTTCAGATAGATAGATAGATAGATAGATAGATAGATAGATAGATAGATAGATAGATAATGACATAAGAATCGGCACTGTATGGTGACTGTCAGTTTCACGGTTAAAGCAATTTTCACATCATATGTCACCGCTCTTTTCGCGGGTTTTAAATATACTGGTCAATTTGAAATATCTTTCTTTGTAATGACAATAATAACAAATAGGAAGTAAAGGAACAAAAAGGAAAAGTCACTTGAGTAACTGATAGGCAACCGAATATTTTCTCTCTTTTTTCAATCTTTTGTCGCTATTTATGACAGCATTGACAAATTGATATATTCCTAACTTGGTAAAGTTAGCGAAAACAATTCAATGTAAATATTATTACTGGGTTGGCCAAAATGTTCGTTCAGTTATTAAGTAAATTCACTTTGATCAATCCAATATATAAATTGACACTTTTTTTTTTCGAACTAAATCTAGCCACGAGGAGGCAAGTAAATACTAAGCTATCAGCAGAACTGGAGAAAAGTTTTTCTGTTTTCTAGAACAAAGATGAAACGATCACCACACCATGCGATTCTACTATCACAATACCATGCGATTCTACTATCACAATACCATCTCTCTATAAACAATATTAGATAAGAAAGCGAGTGAAATTCAACTATCAACGATCACACTGTTCGTTACAACGAACGAGTCAAAGAGAAATCCTTTGTTTCCTGGCAGCCAATTCTGTACTTTCTGAATAATTCATTGATTTGAATATCTATTTGTTTTTTCTATTCACCAAATCCAATCTAATATTACGCCTGTTAAGTTATGAAAATATCTACTACGGAAATGTACAAGGAAGAAAAACTCAATTTACTCATTTTCATTTTAGAATTTTCGTGTATATTTGTTTATTGTCACGAAATTTTAGACATCAAATAATTAAAATCGATTTGTATTCAAATATCCGAACATATAATTTGCTTTTATGTTCTTGTCAATCGGTATTTTTTTTAATGTTTCGTTAAAATCAATAAAATTTAATTCAGACAGAAACATCATATTTTTCTTTCAAACAGTTTTCCTTGACATCTAACGCCATGATAATATTACTGATATCAAAGCATGTGTTTCTCTTAGAATATTGGATTATATTTTTATATAGAATAGTACTGGGTTATATTTTTTATATAGAATAGTACTGGGTTATATTTTTTATATAGAATAGTACTGGGTTATATTTTTTATATAGAATAGTACTGGGTTATATTTTTTATATAGAATAGTACTGGGTTATATTTTTATATAGAATAGTATTGGGTTATATTCTTATATAGAATAGTATTGGGTTGTATTTTTATATAGAATAGTATTGGGTTGTATTTTTATATAGAATAGTATTGGGTTATATTTTTATATAGAATAGTATCGGGTTATATTTTTTTTCAGTTGAAACTCACATGTTCAATTCTGCGTGAACTTCTAAGATAGGGAATTATCAACATCATATATTCTTAGACAAAAAGTAAATGAATTAAACCCAAAATAAAATATCAATCTTATAATGATTTCAACAACAAATGATTGGTCATTAAATAAGTAAGAGTTAAACAAATAAAGTAACTTAGTATGGAATAGATTTGCTCTTCGATTTCTTTTACATCTTTAAGTCTTTTTTTTTTAAAGAAAGAAAAACCAGACATTTGATGCTTAGCTAAAGATATTTCCTGGTTATTTCGCGTTTAACATGAAATCGAATATTCTGCATAAAGTTAAAATCTAGACTTTGTCAAGGAAAAAATATGAGCTTAATGGGTTTGTTTTCTAGCCACTTTTTGGTCGTTTTTTTTTTTTTTTTTTTGCAGTGTAGGTTGTTTTCGAATTAGTAAACGATCATTCCTCGTTAGTAAATAACTTTTGTGGGAAGTAAAACTATCTGCAATATTCTCCGGTATTCCAAAGCATTATTTGATTTTTCACATTTTGAGTCCGACCTACTCTCTTGGCCAGGAGTCTAGGACACTATGACTAGGTCACCCTCGCATAGAAGTGGATAGTGTGGGATTTTATCACGGTCTTTTGTGTTTAATGACCAGGAATATAATCTGTGAGATAGTATGTTCACAGTGGCCAGCTACTTGACTAAAAGAGAATAAAAAAAGAGGAATAAATAAAAACTTTTAGAGTAAAGTGACAAGAAATCGGGCCCTGAATATTTCCAGTCACGGGTCTACGTTAAGGTTCAGCTGCGATTTAGTGACGTTCTGGACTACCCTTGAAATAGGACAGACTTTCCTTTTAAGTAGCGTTACCGGGTGAAGGGTAACCTTAGTGGTAGTTCTAATGCCGCCTGTTAGGCTTGGTAACAGCGCATCGTGAGAATCGAGAGTTAATAGGTGAGAGTCAGAGAGGAAAAGCCGATTTGTTAATCTTAGATGTTAGGAGGGGCAGAAATTGTCACCGAGTGTCACCTATCCATGCAACCGAAGCCCTAAATAAACAACTAAATATTTTGGATACAGAGTTCGAATTTTCTTTCCCCGCCATAGGTTTTATTCTCGCGTTTCGTTTCCTCGTGAGCGTGCAACGGACGTTCCTCAGCTGTTATAAACACTGGCAAAAAAAAAAAAAACAGAGACGCAACGTAAGGTAGTCGTTGTCCGTTCAGCGGAAAGCTGAAAGAGGGCCCTGTTGTGTGTTTACAAGTGTACATTGATTTATGTGAACTATAATTTTCATTTTGGCGCACACAATCTTTCGGCCGATGCACCAATCTGCCTCCTTCAGATCTTTGTTAAAATCGGATACATTGTCATTTAAATTCTAATAACCTTCGCAATAGTCTAAGCATGTGAATGAACACTATATGGAAATCTTTGATTACAGAAGAACAGGTATTAGGATTAAGGTTTCAGACTTCTACTGAGGGGCCCTATGCGACAAATGCCTATCATATAAAATCGTTGCTTAAGCGTGAAATGTTATCGGCGGACTTTATAAATAAGAACACGACACTGAATATTTCATATGTAAAATTACACTTTATTCAACTCCGTCAGTCTGTAGGAGTGTGGCCCGGGGGACATCGCCCAACGTGGATTCAACATTCTTGTGTGGACGCAAGAGGTACTATTCTATCTCGGATGGAAGTTTATGTATCTATCTGTCATGCAATTCTTTTCCACGCGTGCACGTTCCAGGCTCAGCTGGATCGGTCACCTGATTACATGACGTCGGGAGCCACTGACATTTTGTGTAGCGCGAATCTACACACACAAGTAGGAACTCATCTGTCAGGTCGACTTTGAACCTGGCTACTCTGAGGATCATTGTGTACAAAGTCTGGGGTTAGTCATCTGCAACTAGTGCATCCAGTTCATTGATGGACGAGAGTTCAGTACTAAAAAGCACAAAAGGACATATTGCTAAGAAGAATTAACTTAGACGAGATTTCGCCAGACAGGAAAAGCGGAATTAGAACAATCTGTTCATTGAAAATTAAAAAAGGGGTCGCGTCGAAATCGCCAAAAAAATTGCTAAATGCAACATACACCTGAAGAAGGCCGACAGATGAAATAACTGAAATGTTGTGAATATGACAACAAAGATGAGGCCATTAGCCGAAATAGATGGACGTATAATGTTTGGATGATGATATTTATAATGAACCACTTCTAAATACGAAATCAAAATACAAAGAATCCACTTTATTGTTTGTATTTAATCACAATACAAAGATATGTCTATTCCTATCAGTAAATCAAAAACTGCCTGCAACATGGAGTTCTCTTTTTGTAATTTCAATTTTTAACTGCCATTACTTGTTTCGCCCAGGCCATTGTTCTACCATTTATCTCCACCAATGAATTCTACAAGTAGTATCATAAAGAGTTAGTTAGGGAATTAATTACTTTAATGTCTGTCCAGAATAACGGCCTTCAGTTCTACGTGTATCTTCCATTATATTGTAACAATTCTTATCATATATATATATATATATATATATATATATATATATATATATATATATATATATCATTATATATCAAAAGTTTGGCCACAACTAAGTCCTGGCACAATCTAGTTGAAACAAAAATTCTCATCGTATCACAAAAATTACTTTGCGAACGCTTAAAGCAAACTAGCTGAATTAGATGAAAATAAAGATTCGTCCTTAGAACGGTTGTATAGTCAGTCAGAAATGATTCCATGTGCAGAGATAATAGTTGTGTGCATAAATATCCAATTGCGCGTACGTTTTATCTTGCTGAATCGTGATCTAGTATTATTTCTCTGTTTTGAGCTGAATCAGAAAATACGTATATAAACAAGACCATACTGCAAAAAGGTATCCATGTTAGATGGTAAAATGAATTGTTTATACCACAGGGATGAATTGTAAATTAGTCTTCGTGTGGGGAAACTTGCGGGACAGGTTAATATGTTTAAAATGACACTTTAAGCACACTTTCCCTCCGATTTAGTTGTCGTTCCAAATTCTTAATTCTATAGCACACAGACACACTGACATGCGCATGCGTATACATACTCACAAATATATATATATATATATATATATATATATATATATATATATATATATATATGTGTGTGTGTGTATGCTTGAGTGTTCGTGTGAGATCCTAATTTTAGTAAAGACATATTCCAATGATGGGCTAACAAACAGCATACATTGATGCCAATAAGCAAATACATAATTAGTAATTAATGAAGATCATGCTGCTAATTATTTTCTTTTTCGTTTTGTTTTTCTTTGGATATTTGGATATTTAAAATGGAGGATTCTTTATTTTGTGTGACAGCAGAGTTAAATGTATAGCTAAAAATCATAGATTACTCATGCAGAAATATTAGCAATGAAATTACGAAATTACTTAAATATCGTAAACTAGCATATATATATATATATATATATATATATATATATATATATATACATATATATATATATATATAACTGATGTAAGTTTGGCGTAAAATCCCACACATCTATGATTAAAGTCCTGGAGCGTTTCGTACGTGTTGAGTGTTTTCTTGATCCCACACGCAAAATACAGATGTTCAAA